CATTATCTCTAAGTGTTGCAAGGTGACTTACATGATAAATATTAATAGCATACAACAAAAAGTGATCATACTATTCATCCCTCCAAATATTCATTTCCTACCGTGACATTATCACAAGTAAGCACCACAAACCAGCAAGCAACAAAAGACCATCCAGTGAGCAGGCGAGAGGCAGATACCAACATTCGCATGTTTGGGTGCACAACAGAGTATTGGCTTGGAACCAAAAATATGTCAGACTTGGAGCCAGGCACACCTCCCTGGGGTGAACATTTAAAAGACAGGGAGCCGCTTAGCTCTTTCCCTCCCCTCCTTCAGAAAGATTATCAAAACTGTGGTGTTTGGGCATGCTTTTGATGTTGTCTGGTTCTCCCACAGTTTGTTAATGGTGTTGTTCTTATCCATGTTAAGAGTGTTCATTTGGATTTTGTTTCATTGAAGTGCTCTTACGATGTTTGTGAGCCACTTTGGGAGAAAGCATGGGGGTTGAAAGCAGCATATAAATATGATACAAATAAATTTATACCCCACAGACTGCAGATGTCAAAGGCTTTCCCTTTGAAAAATGAAGGTGAATTGTCAAATAGGTGATGAGTACAACATTTTAAAAAACCACTGTAATCTGACTTGCTGCTTCTTTATAGGGCATGTGAATAAACAATAGCTGCTTAAAAATATATCTAATAATGTGTATACTGCAGTTTGTGAAGCCACTCATCAAAAAAATCCAGAAAATCATGACTATACCCCCCCAATGTTTCTGTCTCACTGTCTGCTTTTTTAATGGTTTAAAAATGAATCCACCTTTGATTTTTCTCCCCTACAGCCATTGTTAGTGCATTTTTCTCCAGATTTCCCAGGCGGAAATGTCATCTTATGATACACCCCAGGGTTGCAGATGTCAGTTCTTGCTGCTTGATGTGGAGCATCCCTTGGAGGAATATCACTGCAGGAGGTGGGGGTGCCAAGACTTGCATACTGGCATCCTTAGCAATCATTCTTAAACTGCCAGCAGTTTGAAGGTACACATATGTAACAATGAAAATCATCTGCAGTTGGGTTGTAATCCTCTAAAATAGGGATGCGGAATACCTGTGTCCCATTAGATGTTGTTAGATCCCATCTCCCAGCAACTCCACAGCCAGTGGTCAGGAATTATGGGAGTTATAGTCCAAAAATACGTGGAGAACCTCAGGTTAATTACCTGTGGTCTATTTAGCAATGTCTTCCATTAAAAACATTTAATGACCTACTTACCTAGTTATTGGTATCTTGGGGTTTCTCAAATCCATATGAAGGGAGAGCATACTTAAAATACATTTGTGAGGTGTTTTTTCTAAATAGAACTAGAATGTAATAGAACTGTGAGTCAGTGACTTTCTTCTTTTTTGTCTCAAAATAAAAATGGCAGATTAACCTTTAACCATGCATGCTAATGTAACCTACCTTTCCCTCTGCTTAGATTATTGGATGGATTTCTCTATGAGAAAGACTTATTGTCAGGGGTTCAGAGAGAGAGGCACAGGGTAGGCAGGAGATGGAGAGCGAAGGGGAGGAATTCCAAGCCAGCGAGGAAGAGGACGACAATGACTCAAGGGATTCCATGAGTCTTTCCAGCGAATCAGAGGATTCCCAGAAGGGGGCGCCGGTGGTCAGGGCCAGGGGAGCCCCAGGGGGGAAATGTCAGGAGCAGGGTGCCAGCGGAGGAACCCAAAGAGCCAGCAGCCCGTCAGGACCAGCCTCCCCACCAAAGTGCAGCGAAGGGGTGGAGTTTCCAGTGTGTCAGAGGAAGGAGCTCCAGCAGCAGAGAGAGGAGGGGGTCAGAGCAAGCAGCCCTCCCGGAAGGGGAGGGAGCAGTGAAGGGAGCAGTGTAACTGTCAAAAGGAAAGTTAGAGGTTTGGCGCGCGCGCCTAGTTCAAATGTAGAGGCGCGCGGAAGTGCAGGGAGCCCGGAGGAGGGGCCAGGTCCCAAAGCCCGCAGGAGGGGGGGCAGCAGTCTGATTCCGCGTCAGAGGAATCCAGAAGGGGGCAAACCCCAGGGGGCAGAAAGACCCTGCGGAAGAGGAAGGAGAGAAAGAGGTGGAGCAGCGCAAGTCTCTTAAATTGGTGCAGAGGAGGGACTGACTCAGACGGGACTTCGGCGGTCTAGCGTAAGAGACGTAAGGCTGCGCGCCTAAGATGTCAAGCAAACCATGAACTGCAATAAACACCTTTGTATTTAAGAAGACGTAGGCGTTGGTCTTTTGTGAGCTAAGACTTGAGGCAGCCTTGACACTTATGAATTTGGCATGCTTTGGATGGGTGAACAGTACATCACAAGATGCTGTGAAATAAGTGGCGATGCTCTGTCCTTGCCTATTTCTGCTCTACTACAGCACTGTTTGTGTCCCAGCTATCTGCACTACAGGCAGCTGAAATTTCAAGGCACTGGAGGAATGCGCTAGACGCAACATGAGGCAGGATGTTGTTACACAAGCTTCTCCCACTCCATACCAAACCACTTTTTATTTTTACTGGCACTACATTCCAGTTCACTGGCTCCTAAGGCAGTTACCTCTATACTCAGGCATCCCTAATAACCTATCAATTGATAAAATCTCTTGACCCAACCCATATTTTATGAGCTATTAGAGCTGTGTAGGTTAATTGCTCTTGTAAATGTGCTGTTGGCTCACAACACAGTATCCTGTTCATCCAGGGACACATTGAAGCATTATTTAAACCAGGTGTCCTCTGCCCTCCACCATTGTCACTCTGACTCAGGTGAGAGTCCTTTGAAATTGTGGCTTGGGAGCTAATATATAGCATTACAATTCCCACGGGGGTTTTCCCCCCCTTGAAAATTTTTCTTTTGCTTATCTTTCCAAATTCAGAATTTCCTCCTTAACATCCAGTGTCATTGGGAAGAACTCCTCTGCAAGTCATAGAATCATAGAATAGTAGGGTTGGAAGAAACGCTTGATGGCCTGTTGTACATCATCAAGTGTTGCAACAGTTCTGCCAGAAGTAGCATTCATTTCAGTAGGACCCACTGGAAACACTCCCAGGGAATGTGCTTGTGATCTACAATGCTGGAAGCATGAATCTAGTACAGGGCTGGGCAAGCTTTTTTTCAATCAAGGGCTACATGCCAACAGGGGTCACATGCCAACAGGGAGCAGAGCCAGTTTTTGGCAAGGCCATAGATAATGATTTGCCAATGTCTTCTGGATTAACTAATCCAAAACAAAGAGCATTCTGCTTCACTTTGCACCATGGCTGCCTCAGATTAGGATACCCAGGCCTAGGCAGGTCTATTTAGAAGTAAGCACTAGAAGATTTGATGCAGTTGCTCTCAAGTAAGGAGGCATAGGATTATGTTGTTGTTATTCTGCTGATCCAGAAAGCCAGCCAAAGTTGTTCTTTTTTCAGATTATACACACATAAAAAAGCACATACACAGAGACATGCACATCTTTGTCAAAAACTGCTGGGAGAGCAATATTTTCCCCAATCCACTAAAACAGGAAAAAGGAAACAGGGAGGAAGGGTAGGTGGGACTCTGATAAAAGGAGGGAATGTGACAGCTTCAGGAGGTGTTTGGGACTATATGTAGATCCCAAGTTATTCACCTATGATCTACAATTCCACAGCAAAAAATAAAATCTAGTGTGTTCCATTGTTGAGTTCCATCATTTGGGAATCCACATTATATCCTGTTTGTGTTCATGTGTGGGTTTGCAGAATCCAAATCATTTCATAAACCGAAATGACTAAAAATGGATAAGATTCTTTAAACTCTCATTATTTCATCCATCTAACCATTTCCAGACAAGTTGCTGCCAATCCAATTTTTGAATACACAAAGGGATGGAATAGCACCAACCCACTGCCGTGGCTTAAGAAAACCTCAGCTGGCTCAGAGTTCATCTTTCCTAATATGTCTGTGATTTGTGTTCCGACAGCAATTAGCATGCACATCTCCTTGCTTCCAGCCGATGAGTCAACTTCACAGATCAGGACGGAAAGGAAAAAACCCAAAGAGAATAAAATACTTCCATAAAAGTCAGCAACAATTATTTTGCAATGACTAAAAGTTACCACAGATGTGGTAATCCTAACACCTCCTTAGGCGCATTGTAAAAAGTGACCTTTATGTAGCAAGTGAACTGGGATGTTTTCAGACACAGAGAAGGAACGATGAACAAAGGAGTGTTCAGCCAGCAAAGGTTTTTCTCTTTTAAACTTACAATGACATCATCTGTTTATGTTAGGCGAGAAAGAGACTTTACATGCACTGAGGATATAGCCTTAATATTTCAGTATAATAATAACAACTTTGTTTTCATAGCCCATGCATATATTAATCCTTCACTCAATTTAAATCTGATTTTCTTCTCTATGTCAAACCCTTCTCAGTCGAGAGCCCATGAGACAGTGCCGAAACTCTTAATGATAGGACAGTGTGATCTTTGAAGTCAGAGACACTGACTTCCAAGTACTTCTGAAAGGGACTCCAGTCGCTTTCTGAATTTTCAGGGACCTTGAGGATTGCAGGTAGCTGGGAAAGATTGGCTGTGAATAGGAAAGGAGGGGAAAATAGATTCAGTTGACATTTAAAGGTGAACCTGCATAATTCACACTTTCTGAAATAATACAAGAGCTAAAACACAACCTTCCTTCTAAATTCACACTTCTCCTAATTTTTCAGTGCAGCTTCCAGTAAGTGATGTAAACAAAAAAGCATGCGCTAGGGTAAAGTGTGCATTAAAATGCACACATTGGTGAAAATAACATACCAAGAGGCATTATATTAGGGGAAAGTGCTTTGTGAGAATGTCTATTCAGCAAAATTGCACACAAAGAGGTACATTAGGAGAAATTCGCTCTAAAATGCTGATGGATTTTCATGGGGAGATTTTTTTTTAATGTGAACTAATATGGAACTGTGGAGATCTGAACTTAAGATGAAGAAAATGAGAAACTAAAAGAAATGAAAATTCACAGATCTGACCATCCCTAGCTTACAGGATAGCTCAGTTGTTGTAACATGAGACTCATACTCTCAGGGTCATGGGTTCGAGCCCAACATTGGGCAAAAGATTCCTGCATTGCAGGGGGCTGGTCTAGATGACCCTCGTGGTCCCTTCCAAATCTATAATTCTGTGATTCTATTATTTCTTTCCGGATCTCTTTCTCACGAGCCACTTTAATAGGCTGCTGGTACCAAGGGGCTCGAGTGAATGTAGTTCAACTAGCTGATGTGCAATAACTTTTTATTTTGCATAAGTAAAATAAATATTGAAATCACAAATGATGTGGGGGGAGATCATAGCTCAGTGGCAGGACTTTTGCCAACCTTCCAGAGATCCTGGAGAGCTGCTATTGGTCTACTCTGAAGACAGTGTACGCAGAGAGAAAATGTCCATTTGTGGGTTGCATCCAAACCATACCTGGAGACAGACTTCACTGCTGATGGTGGTTCCAGTGAACCCATGCGAATTTCAGCAGGTGGGTGAGACTGCCCACCTTTCAAAATTGGCAGGGGGGTGGAATTTGGGATCCATCCTGCCAGCCAGCACGTTCTGTTTCCACACCTCTGCAGTTAACCATGCTGGGCTTCACAAGCAAATAAGCTGACGTTGGCACCTTCTTGTGTTTCTGTGATAGCAGATGCAGTAATAACTGCTGAACGGCAAAGTCCTCAAAGGTGAAAATAAATATGCCCTTCGCAAGCTGCATATTTAAATACTAAAGTTATGCATGGAGAGATAATTAATTCACTTATGCCTTTGCTCCCTTTTCTTTTCTTTTTAATTGAAACTACAGGCATGTGTCATATTTTGATCCTCAGTGCTGGTACAGAGAGTTTTAATGCCCTTGCTTGGTGCCAGCCAGGCTCCCCGTGCGTCTTAATTCAGAGATCAATGTGAGTGTTGTGTAAATGGCCACAGGCTGCCGATGCCAAGGGCCTCCACCCCTGCTGCTGATTCAAATAACAGATACCACATGACATGGTTGCACATTCCTATGCTGCGTGTGAATGAAACTGTAAGAGCCACAGCCTCAGAATCCTGCTTCCAATCCGGGCGAAGATTACCTTCTTTAATTTCCTGTAAACAAACACACGTGGAACCAGCCCTTTGTGAAAAAGGAAACAAATATTCCAAAATAGCTTACACAACATTAAAGCGACTAGACATTGTAGCCATCTCTGTGGTCTTTTTTGGCGCCTATTGAAGGCATTCTTCCTCCAAGCAGCCTTTTAAGTTAGAGATCTTTCCCAGTCTGTTTCGGTATTGGACTCTTTTTTTTTTTTTAAGAGGTCTTAAATTATTTTTTGGGCTTGTGCGTTTGCTGCCCTGGGCTCCTTTGGGTGAAAGGGCAGGATATAAATGCAATCTGTAATGAGCTCAAATCCCAGGTACACGTGAGGAAAGGGTTTCCATCACTAATTGTGTTTCTCTGCCTCTTAAGGCATCATGAGGACTTTGGGGTGGTTTGTTTGTTTCTTTGGTTTTTAGTGTTGCTTATTGCATTATTATTGAGTTTCCTAAGACAGTGCGGAAAACAATAAACAGAACCTCCCACACCCACCCGCCATTCTTAACGATGATAGTTAACGACCCTCTCATTCCCTATTTACTCACGGTTGTTTGGGTTTACACAAAATCAAATCAGAAGGCACTACAGTGGTACCTCCGGTTAAGAACTTAATTCATTCCTGAGGTCCATTCTTAACCTGAAACTGTTCTTAACCTGAAGCACCACTTTAGCTAATGGGGCCTCCTGCTGCCACTGTGCCAACGCTGCACGATTTCTGTTCTCATCCTGAAGCAAAGTTCTTAACCCGAGGTACTATTTCTGGGTTAGCGGAGTCTGTAACCTGAAGCGTATGTAACCCGAGGTACCACTGTATTTTGAGAGGCAATCAGTTCAAATTTATAGACCCTATTCTGAAATTTTAGCAATGGACTGATAGGCTGTGTGCACTAGCCCAGGCCCTCAGAGGCGATTTTAGGGTGGTGCAACCAGGACAGACACACTGGGCACTGCCCTGAAGGGGGCACCAAAATAATGCTGTGCAACAGAGCATGAGAGGCAGGGGGTGCCGAATTTTAGTGTTGCACAGGGCGCCACTGAAATTTGAAAGCCCAAACTCCACCATTGATGTCTTCTTATGTTCTTAACCATTATAAGATACAGTGGTACCTCGGGTTACATACGCTTCAAGTTACATACGCTTCAGGTTACAGACTCCGCTAACCCAGAAATAGTGCTTCAGGTTAAGAACTTTGCTTCAGGATGAGAACAGAAATTGTGCTCCGGCGGCGCAGCAGCAGCAGGAGGCCCCATTAGCTAAAGTGGTGCTTCAGGTTAAGAACAGTTTCAGGTTAAGTACGGACCTCCGGAACGAATTAAGTACTTAACCCGAGGTACCACTGTACTAGCCCAGGTCAGAGAAAGTGGCACTTACCGGTAAGTCCCATGAAAAAGAGTGGGACAGATTATTCAGAATTTACTTAATGCTGCAATCTTTTATTCATGTGGGGGCATAAGTCACATTGAATTTATTGGGGCTTATTTCTTAGCAGACATAGAATGAGTTGTTCAGTCCAACTCATTGATTTCAATTGGACATAAATGCACTACACTTCTGGAGCCAGGCTCCTGGGCTCTTGTGCAAGGCTACACACAGTACTGGGATTGAACTCCCAAGTGGTGGTGCAAGAAATAATAACATCTCCTATAATGGCCCTAAAGTGTTTGTTGTTCAATGCATGGTTTATCTCTCCCATTTCCAAGGACAACAAGCACTCAACATCATTTCAGTTCAGAACTATCAAAACTCTACATAATATGGCAATGAGAATGCATGTGAGGGGGTGCTAGAGTGTGGGCCTAGAGCCTAGGATGCCAGGTTTCAAATCCCCCCTCAGCCATGAAGTTCACTGTGTGACCTTGGGCCAGATACTGTCTTTCGGCCTAACCTACCTCACAGGGCTATTGTAAGGTTAAAATGGGGAAAGTGGTGTCTTTCAAAAAGAAAGGAATCTTAGATGGTTGTCAGGTATTATAATTTTTTCATTAAAGAGAAAATGAGAAACATGCAGAAGAGCATGTTCAGAAGAAGCAAAGCATGCTGGGAAAACAATGTCTTCTTTTCCTGGATCAGAGGCATGGAATTTGTCTAGAAAGAGCTGGTCAGGGAGAGGAGCTAAGAAGAGAGACTAGGGACAGTATTGGTGTGGCTGAGCGCGTTTTGGAATAACTAATGTCTCTGCTTTGGCAGTTTACTGTCTCCAAAGCCAACTGGCCCTGCAGACATGTTGAGATCTGACCAGCATTCCTTGAGAAAGGAACATCCCTTTGGCAGTATGTAATAAACACATTGAAAGAGCATCTCATGAGCTGACTCAAAATGAGTAAGGCTAATTGTTTTAAGGCACTGCTTTGAACCTCGCCACTGCGCTGTACTGATTGTTGGTAGCACCTAGAGCTTTCCATTAACCTAGCTAATTGGGTTTAACTCAGTGCCTGCATTGTCTTTGAATGGGAGAGGAGGTAAATAAACTTTGGATCAGGGGACTATCTAGAATTGCACGCTTGTCCTGGACTTGGCACAATGGAACATGGACCTTTGTTGTTATTCAGGCACAAACACAATAGGCATCACAAACAACCGAAACCAAACATGGCCTCAAGAGCAATGCCTGCCCTAGTTTCTGCTGGGGAGGGGGGGTACGGTAGAGGCAGTCCCTTCAAGGAGATCCATGGAGTTCTGAGAGCCAAAACAATACAGTTGTTTTCCTTCTTGCGCCCGTGCTAGAAGAACTATTCGCTGCAGTTATCCAATAAAACAAGGACATTTGGATTGAAGCTCCAGTCTGCCCACTTTCAACAGCAAGGGAGAAGCCAGGTTTCCCAAGTGGGATGCAACCACTTCATTTGGGTGCCTTTTCCTTTGCAAATTTAACTATACAAATTAACCATATTCCCTTTTTCATTAGCCAGAGAGAGTTCTTTACTTTTTTGGGCCTATTTCAATGCTTCGTTGCTTAATGCACTAGATCAATTAGTTGCCTAGCCATAGCTCAAAAGAAGCATTTTACCACAACATTGCTACTTCTGTCACTCATAATGGCACCTGATGTCAGATGCTCCTATGAATGACGTAGCTTGAAGTGGCAAATTGGCTTGTTTTTAAAGGATTAAAATTCCAACTACCTTGTTATAAGTTAAGATGAGAATTCTTGAAATTTACTCCCCAACACGCACATACAAACACACACACAATCACAGACACACACACACAAACATTCCCAACAACTGCTGGGCTGAATTCTTCAGCCAGTGGTAGTGTTGATGCATCTGTCTGTGTTCAAGTTACACCTTCTTTTGTACAGTTCTCATTTATTCCAGTGGGCTCACAATCCAATAACCTTCTTGCCAGATTGTGTCCTTGGCCATTTTATAGTGTGAATGCTAGAAATTGTGCCACTGTGTATTTTAAGTCTTGTATTTGTGACTCTGTGTGTTTCTTAAAATCTTCTAGAGGCTCCAGTGCTGGCAACACACAAAGCCAATACTGTAAAATAATAACAATATAAATCTCTCAAGCCGCAGGGCAAATTTGACCAAATATGCACATGGTTCTGGATCAATGGAATTCAGCACAAGTTTCTTTGAGAGGATCTAAAGCAGCATTAACACAAATTGTACTGAGCAGTTTGGTGCAAAGTCCTGAGGTCTTTTTCTTCATTTCACATTCCCAGGCTGTGTGCCAGATGTGTCGTCATTTACTGTAATGTTTTTACTCTGAATTTCCTTCTCACCGTTAACCCACTTCTCAGCGCAATATGAGGAAACACTGGGTGAGCGAGAAAACAGAATGCTCTTGTCATGTTGTTGCAGAGGTGTAGATCTAAACTTTGCTAGACTACAACACCCATCATCCCTCGCCTTAGGCCATGCTGATGGGAGATGGAGCCCAGCAACCTCTGGAGGGCCACAAGGTGAGGACTTCTGCTACAGAAGATTACAACCACAATACAGGTGGTTCCTGATGCTATGTGTGTGTACCTTTAAACTGCTGGT